CCCGTTGGAAGCCTTCCAGGCAAGAAACATCTACGAATTATCATCCAATGAATCAGCACTTCCATAAACGCCGTCATTGTAGGCCGCATTAGCTCTCGAGAAGTTCAACAACCAGGCGTTACTCGACCTGCACGCTGTAGCAACGTCATGCAACGATCCGCAGTTCACTGATTTCCTTGAGTCGGAGATGCTTGAGGAGCAGGCTTAGTGAGCGAAAAACACCCTTATTCTGGAGAGCCCTGCCCTCCCACGCAGTAATCTGACAAATTTCAGACCGAATCTATCAACGAGATGGGTAAGTTGGTAACGAAATTGAAGCGAGTCGGAGCAGGTTTGGGCGAGTACATCTTCGAGAAGGAGGAATTCGAATGAATCAACTAATCGACATCGATTTTTTTATATCTGCACCAGTTTTGTTTTCCTACACGTGTTAATGTAATGTACAGTACCTGTTGCATGTTCATACCCCTGAATAAAATAGTACGTTTTATATCAGTTTCGCCATCAGCCTTCAACAAAGACAACTGCAAAAAAATTCACTGCCTTATGAAACAAGGCATGAGCGCCTAGCGGCCACCTCTTGCGCACGCGCCCGTCGCACGGCGGATAGTTCGTTACGAGTTCACTGAATGACGGGCCCTTCTTTGTGGCCACGGTAAAGGACGCTCGCCCGTTGCCAAATAAATCCAGAAATGATTTTATTCAACAACAACAACAACAGTCAACATGTGTTGGGCTCCCTTAAGAACTCCCCTGGAAACTGAAACTTTGGAGTTTAACCAACAAAAAAGAAGGGGGAACAGGAGGGTGCGCCTAACCAAAACTTCCTGGCGAATAAATTTTTTATGCAAAGAAGTTTTAAAAAGAAATGAACGTGCTAATGTATTTGGGGGGAGGGGGGCGGCGGGTATGGAAAAACAAGGGACTCTGCGCAACTCTCGCGGTCCGCTCCTTTAGCCTAACTATAGACATTGGCTCAGAAGAATGAAGGGCGCCTAGTGGCCTGTGGAGTGCTCCCCAAGTGAGGGAACGTCGTACGTTAGGGGATTCCCAGGAATTTGCTGGAGGGAGGAAGTTCGTACCAGAGAGGCGGAAACTTGAGGGAGGGTTGTGTTTCAACAAAATTTTCACAAACGGCAAGACTTGCACTGCGCCAAATACGTTAGCGCCGAAGTCAACTCACAATCAGCGTAGAGAAAGTATACAAAGCGGAGCAAACGTATATGAAGGGGGGAGGGAGGGGGTCGCCGATGTCTCCATGTCTTCCCTGCCTCCCTTCGACAACTTTGGTCGTCTGCGCTCCAGGCTTAGGCCTTTTTGGGGAAGGGATATCAAAGAGCGGCAGTGATCTCCTACCAACCGAATTACATTATACCCAAAAAGTCCGCGTAGCTCCGCTACGGCCACTGATGTTTCGCGTGGTTTTCGGATAAGCTACCTTGCGCCCATTCAAGTCTGTAACTGGTCCTGTAATATTCGAGTTGTTCACCAGAACATCTTTACCCGGTTCTGAGATACAAAAAAACGGAACTCTAGCGGCTTTCTTCACGAACTGTTGCGCTCGCCTTGCCACGCATGACAGATCTCCCACCCTCTCTATTGTCCGAATCCCTCCGCTACCCATTCCGGACCAAAAATCCCAGCATTGAAAAATCTTACCCTGTCAATTGGGCCCCTTAAAGACAGCCCCCGCGCTCGAGTAGTACACGGTCGTCCTTCC